TCCTTCAAGTTCAAGGACAAGCATTGCCAAGGCTGACCGACCAAACAAAACACTGACCTATTGTCTCTCTCTCCTTCTTCACAGTGCGTGGAGGCAGAAACGAGGACAGACGACACTGTTCGGAATATGAATGGGAAAACTCACACCGCTCAACATGGCGACTGTTTACAGAGAAAGTCCCGCCCTTCAGGAAAGCAGCCAATCAGCTGCCTGGTAACGCCACACGCGGGAAACTCCCCCCGCCCCGTGGCTCTTTTCAGCGAGTCAAATCAAGCGGTTCAGCTCACCCATACGAGCCGACTCTTTCGACTCCCAAACGGCTCTTCGTTCAACAGCACTGTCCGTTTTTTGAGCACCCGAGTTCACAACCTTCGATTACTTTCTAATTAGCTAAAATTACATCATGTACGTTCTGAAACAAATAAAGTTGCAGAAAAAAATACAGGCAAAACCAACCACCAGTCATCAACAAACAAGGCAAAAATCAGAATAACTAGCGAGACACACCTGGAAACAAGGCCAAGAGCTGACTAACAGAAGCAGGTGTTGGGAACAGTGAGGTTGAGAAACCATTTGTTTTGTCTTAATCACAAAAAAGGCTCCTCAATGCGAGTCGGCTCCCAACGTTCACCTAAAAGAGTCGATTCGTTCGCTAACGACACATCACTACCGCGCAGGTGCAGTAGCCAGAACAGCCAGAAAAAGATGTGTTTTTGTGCGTTACTGAACGCTACAATCTATTGCTGGGTTTTTGTCAGGTTTTATCAATCATTTCAAATATGTTTTGAAACAGTAATCCGGTCTTCAGTCTCGAGTATTTAAGTCTCTCCCCATTCTGGTGCCGTATTTACAGAAACACCCTAACTTTACCTCTGAAACCCTATCACCATGGCAACTTCAGCTAGGACCGAGTTTAGGACAGCAGCTATTACAGAACAACATGTAATTCTGACAGAAAGCGTTTAACATTGGTACTGCAGTCCAAATTAAAGTGTTGGAGAGAGTCATCTGCCCTGCCCTCGCTCCTTCCCTCCTCCTCTTCCACTCCCACACTCGAAGCTCAGCCGGGTTGCCAGATTGACGACACTGAACCCACTAAACTTTGACAACAGCAAGCGACGACGACGAGTCAACCACTGTAAGCGATCAGCTAATGTAGCTGATGTATACGCTTGCAGTGTTTTTACTGTTTGCAAATTATAAAACACCTCGTGTTTTTTTTTAAACTCTGTCAGTGTTAGCTAACATTAGATGCATAACTGGTTATGTACAGCCAAATCTAAGCCCCCCGTTATCCCGAAAACAAAAGCCCACTGCTCCGACAATACACGCCCTGGATCTGGAGTTACTGTTTTCCAGGCCCCGATAACATACCGCTCAATTTGACACAGATTACCAGGTTATCCGAAGCTCAGTGCTCACCTGTTCAGGAGAAAATCAGCCAGCTCGGCATCTGACTTAAAGTCCTTCTGGGCTCTAAGCTGCCTCCATCTTTCAAACGCATCGCCAATATTGACTCGCGTTCTGGCGCGTCTCTGGTCATGGAGCTTTTTAGAGGGATGCCGAGGCTTTTTAGGTCGGGTAGAGTCTAAAGGTGTCTCTGTTGATCCGGCTCGTTTGCTTGCTTCCATGGCTGAACCACGCTGTGTTTGCCTGTCAGTGTGTGTTCCACATCTGGCAACCCGGGGAGTCGAAATGGTACTGGGAAGCGGGCAGTGGGCGGGACCACAGGCCAAAACACAAACAGACTTGAAGGAAAAAAACAGGCCCCCAGCTTACAGGGCTTGGACACCACAGGACCATTTGAGAGAAGCTCCCTGCTGAAAAAAGGGTTCTGTTGGTTCCTGGTGGAGTCCAGTGGTCAGTATTTTGTTTAGTGTTTGTCCTGATGGGTTGATATCACAGTGTAAAGGACTCTAATGGTGTTAACAGGTGTTCTAGGACTGATTTCAGATGCTTTTGTGGTTTCCTAATGGGATCTAAAGGTGCCCTACAGGAAGTGGTCACTCATGGTATCCATTTAGCCAATTCCCATTAGAAAACAAAACCATTGGTTTTAAAGGTCTTTTTTTTTTAAACAGGGTTCCCTGTTCAGTTCCATTCATTTCAGGCTGATTCAGTGATTTCAGTCCAATAATAAAGGCATGTACATTGTTTTAGATCACCTCAGAGCTTCTACAGTGACTGGACTGTGTCATTTGATCCGCAGGCCTGTCGGTCACTTTATAGCTTCAAAATAAATACTTTTCTGTGACCGTATAGAAAATGATGAGAATAAAGCTGTGACTCCAAACACTGCGCTGTAATATCTGAAGTAGAAGCTTCTCAATTATATAAAACAGTGGTTTCAGTGTATAATAATAATAATAATAATAATAATAATGACACAGCAAACAAAATTCAATGCTTAATGTTGTTTAGTACACCAAAAATAATTTATCAATAAAGATAAGCAATCACATAATTTCAAAAAAGTGATTTTTTATCATTTTAAAATTTTATTATTTCTTTTTCATTTTATTATTTTTATGTACCTTTTTTTAACTATGTATACATATGTATTGATATATGCTTTTATAATGTATAATAATAATAATTGCACTATTTATAATTATTATTAAAATTGTAAAATACATATATAAAGGATTAAATAATAATAATAATTCAAGATGATTTTATTATTATTATTATTATTATTATTATTATTATTAACCTGGTTATTTTAAAATGATGAGCTTTTTAGAAGGATGCCAGGGCTTTTTAGGTCAGATAGAGTCTGTTATCTCTGTTGATCCAGTTTATTTGCTTGCTTCCATGGCTGCAGCGGGCTGTGTTTGCCAGACAATTTGTTTCATATCTGGCAACCCAAGGTGTCGAAATGGTACTAGGAAATGGGCAATAGGCAGGATCACAAGCCAAAACACAGACAGACACCAGTGTTTACCCTCATTTTCTCTCTCACTCGGTCAAACTCCTTTCTGCCCTCTCTTTTTTCTCTTAGCTTCTCGTTTTCTTAGGCAGTTTTGAGGTGAAGCAGTTGTTCGGTGCAATTGGGACTTTCAGTGAAAGGACAGGCTGCTCTGCCTTGTCCATCATATATATCAGCATCTCGCCTGAAACCCAGGTTTAGCTAATATCAAAAGTGCTGTAGTGCAATGAAACCTGCCTCTCTGCACAGGAGAGTCTGCCTCAGGGTGGCACTGCAGCCTAGCAACTGTAACTACGCCCAGGACACCTCTATAATATGCTGTAGCATATTTGTAAATCTGAAAACTTGCCAAATTTCCCAAGAGTTTGGTGGAAAGAATTGTTATTCATCTCTCAAACTAAAGACAAAAGAGGAGATGTGTACACGCTCAATTCATGTGTAGAAGAGCGCATGACCAAACCAGAAGAGAGCATTTCCAAAAGCAGAATTGTGAAACCAAACATTTTGTTGCCATTGAAGTATCAGTGCCGCTGGTGAATGAGTTAGAAGTCAGCCAACGCTGGAGTAGCCAGCCAACATGGTACCCCCCAAATACTAGAGGGTATTTTGTGCATTAAGTCATAAAACTATGGCTTCTACACTCAGATAGTGCACTACATGTCGTGCATCTTATGGCTGAATCCCAAAAGGCTTTCTATTACACATATAATACACTATTTGAGAGCAGATGTCGTTATTTAATGACATAAATAGTGTACTATGTAGGGAGTAGGGAGTCAGCTGAGACTGAGCCAAGATACTCACCCACTAGTGGTTAAGTAGGTTAACTACAACAACACTGGAAGGACCATTTTTCACTCAGATTTGATGAATAAGGGCCAGTGTGTTCACATACCTGTCCAGCAGAATGTGTTAACTTATTTCACTTAGAAAATCAAAGGAATATGCCATTTGACCAGGGATGCCCAAATATTTGCATACAAGTGCATTTGATGGCACTACCGAGGGCTATATTGGTGTAGAGTAGTGGGTAACACCTCTGCCTTTTACACTGTAGACTGGGGTTCAATCCCTGCCTGGGTAAGCACCCTACAATATACCAGAGTGAGTCCTTGGGCAAGACTCCTAACACTACCTTCACCTACCTGTGTAAAATGATCAAGTTGTATGTCGCTCTGGATAAGAGAGTCTGCCAAATGCTGTAAATGTAAACGTAAACAAGTACTGTATGGAAATCAGGCATTAATGGACATGAAGTCATGGCATTCTTAAAAATGAGCTCTCTTGTTTCACCATCATGTAACATGTACTAAAGCAAAACAAGCTTAAAATAGATCTGATTTTATGTCACGTTAGATGCATGAGATTAGAGAGCTCGAAGATCTCATCATTAAATTTGCACCAAACTTCATGTATTACTGCCCAAAGTGTAGCTTAGCAGATGTACGGTACACATGCACACACACAAAAACTTACTTCTTCTCCATGCGGAGCCGCTTCGCTGGTGCTGAGGTGAACGGGGGGTCGAGGCTGGTGTCGAAATTGTCCTCGGAGAGGGTCACGGTCACAGAGCATCCCAGAGGCTTTACCTGAATGGCTAACGTTACAGCACAAACATTTCAAGTCAAATCTCTGCAACACAACACAAATGTGTAAAGTTACATTTAAAATTGTTTAAAGATAAACTGTTAAAAATTACATAAAATGTTAGGCCCGTCACAGTTACTTAATCGCCTGATCACAATTAATTAAGCTGACTGAACCATGGTAAAGTTACACTATGTATGATTTGGGGATTTTTGAGTCCTCTCTTGAGGTAATGTGTACTAGAACGTGCTTTGGAGCCCTTCACCGAGCAGATGAATCGAATGTTTGCGATCAAATTGAAAGAGAATTAAAAGAGAACTCGGTCAAAACTTGCTGAAGGATGTGTCTTCTGAGGATGTGAGTGAATTATCTACTATTGTCATCACATCTTTCTTCACTATAATGTTGACTTTGTATTTGAGACCTAAACATCGAGCTGGACCTTCTTTTTGAGTCTGTGTGTGACATTAATACGTAAAGATGTATGACGTGGTCTGAAAAGTTATGATTATTAATTAATTAATTTATTATTAGTAGTATTATTATTAGTTCAGGCTTTACAGGAAGACCCACAGCAGCACATGCTCACACATTTTAGCCTGTTTTTTTCCTCCTAACTCAGTAATGCTGCTCTTTCAATTGTAATAAAAAATCTTACAGCTTTAAGTTGACTGCAATCACTTTCCACAGTCGTTAGCTTTCACAGTCATGTTTACGTTGCTACAAACTGAATGTGAACTGGGTGCATGTTCATCAGTTGGTTTTCGGCAAATTCATGTAAATAAAAAGAAGCAAACACACAGAGGTGCATCATGGATCTCACAAAACAAAAACTTAAGATGGGTAATGTTTGTTTATTGTGGCTTGAGTTTTGTCTGTTGTCAATTCAGGAGCTAATAAGTACCAACAGTTATGAAACAAGATAGCAAATCAGCCACTGTGGCCACTTTAGGTTTGTACTTTAACAGCTGCAATGAAGATGCAATGAACAAATAGACCATCACATCTTTAATTACAACTACTTATATGGCAATTAATCATCAGCTAAAATTTCATGATTGTCATTTCATTCCTGGCCCAATGTTAGCTACCTTTACTCCGTCGTTTGGGTCTCGGAGATGAGATCATCACTTGGACACCAGCATTCTTGGTAGATGGACATTCACACTGGCAGCCTTCTTCTCGTGTTATCGGCTGCACCGAAGAGCAAAGGCAGACGTTAGACAACGTTAGGCAACAAAATATTAGTTATGTGTTTAGGAGTGTGATGTGGCAAAAATACAAAATCGTAAACATTTTCATGATATACGTCACGATATTTTGTTTTTCTGAGATTGGATACATTGGAACAGACTAAATTTCTAGTAGTATTTAAAAAATACTATCAGAAACTATGAACACAGTTATTTCTACTCAGTATGTCTCCATAAATCCAATTAAAGTTTCCCAGTTTAAAGACTGTTCGAATATAAACTGAAGCATAAACTGAAGTTTCTGCACTTATGAAATTTACAACTTTAACCATTTAACTTGTGATATATACATAGTACTGTGCAAAATGTCTCAGACCACCCTTCGTTTATTGAATTTCCAGTCAAAAACAACCATTAAGTACAAATAATTTATTTTTCAGAAGATATTTCTGAGTAAATTAAATATAAGATAATCCACATGCATAAGCAAGTGGAAAATCAAGCCGCTTCAGATCTGAAAACATCCACAGGTGTTTCTGTCCATCCTTCCACTGTGAGAAGACCACTCAGCTCTGTGGGTCTGAAAGGATGTGTAGCTGTTCAAGAAGAACCTCACTGAGAAAAGGAGACGGACACATCAAACAAAGAAGCTGAACAATGGACTGACCACCCCATCACAGTCCAGACCTCAACAT